CCAAAATTAAAGGCCCAAACAACTAATTTTATAGAATCGGTAGAATTGTGTAGAATCATACAAGATACCTCCGATTCTACGATTCTACCTCCGATTCTACCGATTCTACCCCCAATTCTACCAATTGAGCGATTCTGCTGCGATTTGACTCGATTTTGAGTTCTGAGTCATAGAATCGTGCGATTCTACGACTCAAAATCGCGATTTTGATAACCATGATATAATGGCCGCGTGTTCAGTTAGAGAGAATATCGTCAACGTTGAGAGAAAATCACGTTACGTTGTTAACTATCAAATTTTAAGTTACAATACTTATCTGTCATAAACCCTATTATCCCAATATATATAATGTAATAAATAATACAAATAAATTATATATACTTTTAAAAAAAAATGTGGACGTTGCACAAATAAAGCTAAAAGATCACCGATGGGTTGCGAAAAATGATTTGATATCATTTTAGGAATTGCTCGAGGAATGTTATATCTTCATCCAGATTTGAGATTACGAATCATCTACAGGGATCTAAAAGCCAGCAATGTTTTACTAGATGTTGCAACGAACCCAAAAATATCAGATTTTGGAATGGCAAGAATTTTTGAAGGGGACCAAATTGAAGCAAATTCCAATAAAGTAGTTGGAACATAGTAAGTAGTACATGCATTTATGTTATGAAGAGGGAGATTTAAAGAATAAAACATTAAGTACGCTAACAAAATTTTCATATGTGTGCAGTGATTATATGTCACCCGAGTATGCAATGGAAGGATTATTTTCAATAAAATATAGTATTAGAGATCATTTGTGGCAGGAAAAACAGCAGTTATGATCAAGAGAACTTTCAGAATTTAATTGGACATGTAAGTAAAATGCAAGTCATAGATTTTAGATTAATAACAAATAATATTGTTACTTAATTGTTGGCCTTTAGATTATGTTTTGAACTGTTTCTGGTTTGGGACCTTTGGGGAAAAGGAGAAGCCTTGGACATAATTGATTCAACGTTAGGTGAGTCATATCAAACTCATCAAGTTCTTAGATGCATTCACATTGCGCTTTTGTGCGTGCAAGAACACTCCGAAGATTGACCAACCATGTCGGCAGTTGTTGTTATGTTGTGCAATGAAACTTCTCTTCCTCTGCCTAAACAGCCTGCATTTATTTCTAGAAGACCCAATAATGGTCCAGATTCATCGTCGCCTGATGTTGGAGCTTGTTCCATAAATGATATTACAGATACTATGGTTGAGGGTCGCTGAAAGTTTTAACCATCACATATTGTACCTTAGTCTGCCATTACTATATATGCTGACTAACATTATATTTCCCTATGACAGTTGGACGTCAGCTCAATATGTCGAAATGTTGTGTTGTGGTATTATTTTGTTTAATAGCAATAATTTCATTCAAGCATTTAGTGTATTTTCTCACCGCTGACTAGTCTCGTGCAAGTTGAGTGATAGTCGTGTATTTATGGATTTGTCGTTGTCAAATATACTCCATATCAACATAAAATACCTACAACCATTTAACTAAAAATATTTAATGGAAAGTAGGGTCGAACCACATATTCAAATGAGTTTTTATTTTCGGACAATAGATTTTTAAAACATTGATTTTGGAGTTTGTCACAACTAGAAATAAATATTGGACAACAAATATGTAAAGCAATATTAGAATGAGAAATTTCAAATATATAAATTGAGAGCAAGAAATTGATGAGTAATAAAATAACAATGCATTGAGAAGAAAATTACAACTAGAAACAAGAAGGAAAACTCAATCTATTATATCATTCTCTATCTCTACATATCCTCTTTGCCTCCGAAGTGTGCAATTTATAGACAATTGAAGCAATCCACTTGTAGGCTGTGATGATGGCTTGTCCAAATTTCTTCTTCATTGTTTTACGCCACCTTTCTGCTGCTACTTACTTCACTGACCATTTCATATATTTTTTTCTTTTCTTTTCTTCTTTCTCTCTCCTCCTTTCTCTTCTCCACGTGCACACACTTTGACTTTTCTTTTCTTCTTTTCTTTTCTTTTCTTCTTTCTCCTTTCTCTTTTTCACTTTTCTTTTCTTTTTCTTCTTTTTTTTTATACATTAAAACTTAAAAAACACAAAACGAGCATATAAGAATGTTTAAATAATATAAAAATCTAATTAAAATCTTATTTTGGTGCATAAAATAATAGGTTTTGTGTACTTATCATTGAGGTAAATTCCTACAATTAGGGATGGAACTTGGGTGGGCTTATAACTCAAGCAACCCAAGTCTTGCTTGAAAGGAATTTGGATAAAGATTTTACTAACCCGAGCAACCCTAGTTATTTGAAACATAAAAATTTGTAACTTCTATATTTTTATGACATATTATTATTCACGCAGCTATATATATATATTTGAAACATTTAAAAAAAAAAAAAAGCTTATACACTTTAATTTTTTTTTTTTTTTTACTTATTTATTTATTTATTTATTTGTAATTTCTTGATACTTATCAGGAACAAGGTGATAGGTGAACAAGTCAAAACTAAAAATACTAGTGAAACTCGTCAAATATGGCAAGGGTTGAGTTGAGGTGAGTTTTTTTTGGTAATTGAAATTGACGCAAGTTGAAATGTTAGTATGTTGGATTTGAGATGGTCTATTGACTTGCGCAACCCATCGTTATCCCAGCATTACCTGCAATATATGCTTAAAAGACCCATTGTTGAAATTGAAATTACGGAGTTTATATTATCAATTTTTTATAATTCTCAAATTCTTTTCAGCATTGCACCACTCTAAATGATGGATTTAACCTGATTCACATTTCAACCACAATGTAAAATGTATGAAATGGCCTTTCTTTTTTTTTTTCTTTTTTTTTTGAGGAAAATAAACCCTATGAAATAGTTGCTTTATGTCATTATAAAAAAATTCCTTCATGGTAATTCAATTTACTCCACATTATTGTTACTATATATGATCAAAATTATAGTTTCAGTATGACAATAAGAATTAAACAACTAATGCAAAAAGGAAAAAAATAAAGTTCAATATATCTGCATGTATAAGAAACAATTTCCTATATCAATCAAGTACTTTGCTTCCATTTTTCGAATTCTTTTTCTTCTGCAATATCAACCACAGTTTGCTCTGCCAATGAGAAAAGGAGAATACTTAATTAGTCTAAATGACAGAATGTTTCAAACCGTAGAGAATTTTCTCACATTTACTTTGAAATTTCATCACTTTCAATAATTAATTTCACCACCATAAACCTTACTATTTTGAATATCAAATACATAAATGGTGAATTTCATCATTTTTATGAACTTCAACACCATAAACTTCCCCATTTTTTTAAATTTAAAATTAAAAATAATAAATTTTACCATTTTTATAGGCAAGTAAAAATAGGTAAAATTTGGACAGTACCGAGTGGTCTAGTTGATAAAGTATCCCAACTCCCAAAACAGGTGTGCTCGTATTCGAGTTTCACCTTCCCATACTTCATCAAAATAATATATATATATATATATATATATATATATATATGAAATTTATTTACTTTAGTTGTGAAAGTCACCATTAAATATACCGCAGAAAATTGAAAAATAATAATAAGAATAATAATAATAATTAAAAAAAATAAATAAATAAATAAAAAGGATTTTGGCTCCTAATGCGCATGGAGGATTGGCTTAATGGTCCTTTACCTTTTCGTCAAAGAAAGCAAAAGGAGTGAAATTTGCATTATAGGTGAAGTTATTCGTCCATCATTAGTTGCATTCTCTCACTTAAATTCGAATGCATCTTTTTCAAACACCAACAAAGAAAAATAATAAATAAATAAAAAGAAAAAGGAGAATCAATTATGCTCCAAATCTTGTAAAAGAGCTTCATCTAACAACGTCTCAGTTCCATCCATCAACTCAGGACTCAAACTAAACATCAAAACACAAAATTCCATTTGGTTTTTTTTTTTCCCCCAATTTTGAACTTTTATGAATCACTAGTATGGCAACAAAAATGGGTACAGGACTCCGAATGGATTGTCCGAAATACAAATACTAGAATCGATGAAATGTTAAACAATTTTTTTTCTGTTCCAATTTCCAAAATTTCTGACAATTTGAAAACAAAGAAATGATAGGACCCGTGTGATATTTTGATTTGATATTTTATTAAACTTTGTAGTCATTTTATTCCATTTCCTCTATTTTTAAAATGATAACAGAACTACTTATTACACCTGATTTGTATATCTTAAAGTCGCTCCATTTTCTTTCTTTAATTTTACTTTAATAATTTATACCAAATACAACACGTTTATTTCCCTTTCTGTTTTTTTTTCAAACAAACTGTCTTAAAGTCATCGTTATGACCTCTATTATTGATTGGACAGGGATGCCATCGCACAGTCATTTGGACCCATAATGTTTAACACTTATCTCCATATCTTATGTTTTTTAAAATTTGTTGTATCCTCATGTCATATGAACACAAAAAAAATTAATTTTAGCTAAATTTATTATTTTATATTCATAAACATAAACCAGATATTTGGCTGTGAATAATCTTTACTTTGGTTGATTTTTGAGGATGAAAATGATCTATTTTGTTAATTTAAAGAGAATTTTGAAGAGGATTATGAAGTATATGGTTGTTAACAACTTTTACTTTTTAAGTGGTGATATTATTCTCTTATAAATCATAGTATTACCTTTTAGACTCTTATAATAATTATCAAACGTTTTTAAATAATAATATTACCTTTTAGACTCTTAAAATAATTATCAAACGTTTTTTCAAGAACCGTTAAATAAAGAAAAATGTGATCAAATACAGACCACTTAAAAGCTGCAGAAAATCTCAGGTGGATTCGCGCCCACACAATTCAATGGTTGGAGATGACCGTCATCGCACACATTTAATTCAGTCCTTTAATTAAAAGAGCAATAGTTTCGCTACTCGACCTTGAGCTTGACTTTTTATTTATTTTTTTATTTTATTATTTTTTTGGAAAGGATCTTATTGTCCTTTCAGAACATAAAATTGACAGAAATCTAGATTAAACATTATCGATCGATGGTCTAATTTAATTTAAACTTTCACCGGCCTAACGAAAACTTAGGAGAGAAAATCATCCAAACATGTATGGAGTCCTCTTTTTTTTGCTAACTCCATTTCTTAATCTCACCCGATTCTGCACTTCCACTGACACCATATCCCTAAACCAATCTATCAGAGACAACTATGGAGACAAATTAGTCTCTAGCGGAGAATTCTTTGTGCTCGGGTTCTTCAGTCCCGGCAATTCCAACAAACGATACATCGGAATTTGGTACCATAAAGTTCAAGAACAAACTATTGTTTGGGTTGCAAATAGAGATAATCCGATCAATGACACCTCCGGAGTTCTCTCCATTGACAAAACCGGAAACCTCGTAGTACATAATGGAAATGATAGCTTCCCCCTCTGGTCGACGAATGTCTCGGTGGCAGCTCCTGCCAGCATTTGTTCAGCTCAACTTTTGGATTCAGGGAATTTGGTTTTGCTACAGGGCGATGATGGCAAAAGGGTTGTTGCATGGCAAAGCTTTGATTATCCAACAGATACTATGCTTCCTTTCATGAAAATAGGGATGGACCGGAGGACAGGTCTGAACCGGTTCCTAACGGCCTGGAAGTCACCTGATGACCCGAGAATTGGAGAGTGTTCTCTCAAGATGGACCTTAGTGGGTCCCCACAATTGCTCTTGTCCAAGGGTTCCATTTGGTTATGGCGAACCGGTCCATGGAATGGGCTTAAATGGAGTGGTGTTTCGGAGATGCCGACATCTAATTTCATCTTTAATGTCAGTTATATTGACAATCATGATGAGGTCTCCCTACTTTACAATTTATTTAATACCTCAATTTTCTCAAGAATGGTCGTGAACGAGTTCGGGATCGTGCAAAGGCTTACATGGCTAGAGGGAAACCGTAGATGGGTCGAGATCTGGTCGGCCCCCAAGGATCGGTGCGACTCTTATAATTCATGTGGTTCATATGGTAATTGTAACCCACGTGATGACGGGGAGTTCAAATGCACATGCTTACCTGGTTTTGAGCCCAAGGTGGCACGTGATTGGTCCTTGAGGGTTGCATCAGGCGGATGTGTGAGGAAGCGCAAGGGACAAGTTTGTGGCAATGGAGAGGGGTTTGTGCGGATGACACATTCTAACATTCCCTATGCAACAATGACACATGTGAATATAAGTTCGAATTTGAAAGAGTGCGAGGAGGTGTGCTTGAAAGACTGTTCCTGTAGTGGTTACACGAGTGTAGACATAAGAGGAGGAGGAGGAGGAGGGAGTGGGTGTGTCACTTGGCACAATCAGTTGATAGATACAAGAGTGTTTTCAGATGGGGGCCAAGATATATACATTCGAGTTGATGCAGTTGAATTAGGTATGTAATCAATCTTTCCATGCTCATATTATTTGTGATTCTCCGTTTAAGATAAGGTTAAAATAATAAAATCCCCTTATACTATCTTAAAACAATCATATAAATCTTTACATTCATTTTTTAAAATCTATCATATCACCCCAATCTGTTAAAATCATTAGGCCCCTATGCTATCCAATTTGATCGAATAACACCCTATACTAACAAATAAACTTCAAAACTAACAAAAGTAATCATTTTACTCACATTCTTTGACATTTTCTTAAAAAGAGGTTTATAAGAAAAATATTTAGAATTTTACATTAATCTCTATCGACAAGTCTACGAAATATTTAAAGGAAGGAAAACCAATGTATCATGAGTGTGTGATGGTAAAAATATCAACAATGTTAATATTTTCAAGTGTAAATGAAAATTTCAATTATATTGTATTTGTTAATATTTTTTAATTATAAATGATAAATTTTATAACTACTCATTGCTGTGCAAATGGCACACTCGAGTGCTTCTCTATTTTGATCATTATAATCGTGTTTTTGTTAAACTTTGTGAGGTTTGTTTAATTAGAATATTTAAAAAAATAAAAATAAAAATTCATCGGGGTAGTAATGATATTGCCAAACTCTATTCTAATTTAAGTGTCCTTTTTTGAAAATTTAACTTTTTAAGAAGTGGATTTTAATATTTTTTATTGTATTGATAGTGAATGAATTATGAAATCTATCCATGGTGGGTTCAAGTGATGTGATGATGTTTTGTTTTTATAAGTTTAATACAAAAAGGGTAAAATGAAAATGTGTAAAAATAGTACATTAACTTTTTGATTTGAGTCAATTATTTTGGGACAACCAAATAAAGAAAGATGGATACTTATTATAGGATAGATGGAGTATATTTCTGCCAAAGTGGAATCAATGTATATAAAAAAATAAAAAAATAAAAGAATTAGAAATTAAAATGATTGAAAATTTGAAACAATTGCCAAAGTAAAAAATATTTTCCTTCTCATATTAGTTTTTCATATATTTATTTAGGTTGCACTTTTTTTTATTTTACAATTATATTGTTTCAAGATATATATAAGTAATATAATTTTTATATAATATTAATTTTAGTATATGTATATATACTAAAATTAATATTATATAAAAATTATATTACAATTATTTATAAAAAAAAAAATTAAATTTAACATCCTCGTCATATATTATTTTAAAAGGTGGCATATGACATGCACGTCCTAGTGTCTCGTTACTATTTGACAGCAAACAAAATGATTGAGGGTGATATGACAGATTTTTAAAAAGTAATGAAGTTTTTAGATATTTTTCTTAGTACACAGGGTTATATGACTATTTTGGATAGTATAAGAGGAATTTATGATTTTAAATATGGAAGTCAATTTTGTCATTTCATAGGTCAGTTAACAATTTGTTAGTATAAGAGGTTATCTACTGTTTTAGAATAGTAATAGTTGATTTTAAATGAATCGGAACTTGTTTGTAATTAAATTGAACTTAAAATTCATTAGTCTGTTTGCACCATGATCAAGTGGTTGGGGTTTATTTATTTATTTATTAAATTCTTTTGTGGTATCAACAGGGATAATTTCTGTATAAAATTCCTAATGATTTCTTCTTTGCAGCTCAATATTCCAAGTCAAAAGGCAATCATGGCAAGAAGTTGAAGGTGGCCATTGTGGTAGTGTCAGTTGCTGTAGTGTCATTTCTCATAATCTTCTTGGCATATTGGTTTGTAATGAAGAAGAGTAAAGGTAAACAGATTATTCTTCTATGCAGCTCCGTACCATGCAAAACGCAACAAACATACCATCAAGAGCTACAACCCAGTGTTACTTTCTCACTTTTCAAAGTAAAAGGTCCAATGTCCAAGACACTAAAGGGCAATGCCTATGTGTGACTTTCTTGGCAGTACAAAAAAAATAAAAAAATATACTTGAGTCACTTGATTGTGTTTTTGACCGATTTGGCAACGAAAACATGAAACAGAAATCGTCTCCTAATAGGCACCAGATCGTTTCACAACTGGATCACTCAGTTCCTTCCTTGCGAATATTGAGCCTGATATATTTACTGTATAATTCATTGACAGGAAAAAGGGGAATGGGAAACTTGTCATTTAGTGAAAATGAGCTTGTTGAAAGTGAAACAAGTACAGATTTACCATTCTTTGATTTGAGAACCATTGTAGCTGCCACAGACAATTTCTCTTCTGCTAACAGGCTTGGACAAGGTGGTTTTGGCACGGTTTATAAGGTACAGAATAGTTGTCTCAAAATTGCGTAGCTAGCTTAATCCAATTGTGTTTAAAGTAGAGCAAATTTAACTTTATGTTCAAGGTAGGATTGGCTTGAATAGGCTGAGAGTAAACTTGTACAAAATTGCCATTATCAGAAAATTAATTTAATTAATTTCAGGGCCGGCTACATAATGGACAAGAAATAGCTGTGAAAAGACTATCAAAAAATTCGGGACAAGGGATAAGGGAATTTAAGAATGAAGTTACGCTGATTGCGAAACTCCAGCACAGGAATCTTGTTAAACTTGTAGGATGTTGCATTCAACAAGAGGAGAACATGTTAATCTATGAATACTTGCCAAACAAAAGCTTGGACTCGTTTATCTTTGGTACATATGTGTTTTTCCTACAACTTTCATTTGGCTCATCTTTTAGGATGCTGCATTCAACAAGAGGAGAAAATTGCAATCTATGTATATATGTACTTTTCAGTGTTTTTTATAATTTAATTTGGCAATTTATGATGAATGAATTGACAATTTTTTATTTCTTGGAATCAGATGAAGCTAAAAGGTCATCAATGGGCTGGGAAAAACTGTTTGATATCATTTTAGGAATTGCTCGAGGAATGTTATATCTTCATCAAGATTCGAGATTACGAATCATCCACAGGGATCTAAAAGCCAGCAATGTTTTACTAGATGCTGCAATGAACCCAAAAATATCAGATTTTGGATTGGCTAGAATTTTTGGAGGGGACCAAATTGAAGCAAATACCAATAGAGTGGTTGGAACATAGTAAGTAGTGCAAGCATTTATGTTTTGAAGAGGGAGATTTACAGAATAAAACATTAAGTACGCTAACAAAATTTTCATATGTTATGTCTGCAGTGGTTATATGTCACCCGAGTATGCAATGAAAGGATTATTTTCAATAAAATCTGATGTTTTCAGTTTTGGGGTCGTAGTATTAGAGATCATTTGTGGCAGGAAAAACAGCAGTTATGATCAAGAGAACTTTCAGAATCTAATTGGACATGTAAGTAAAATGCAAGTTAAAGATTTTAGATTAATTACAAATAATATTGTTGCTTAATTGTTGGCCTTCAGATTTTGCTTTGAACTGTTTCAGGTTTGGGACCTTTGGGGAAAAGGAGAATCCTTGGGCATAGTTGATTCATCATTAGGTGGGTCATATCAAACTCATCAAGTTCTTAGATGCATTCACATTGCGCTTTTGTGTGTGCAAGAACACGCCAATGATCGGCCAACCATGTCAGCAGTTGTTATTATGTTGTGCAATGAAACTTCTCTTCCTCTGCCTAAACAGCCTGCATTTATTTCTAGAAGTTCCAATAATGGTCCAGACTCATCATTGGCTGATGTTGGAGCCTGTTCCATAAATGATATTACAGATACTATGGTTGAGGGTCGCTGAAATCTTTAACTATCACATATTGTACCTTAGTCTGCCATTGCTAGTCGTCCTATACACGCTGACTAACATTATATTTCCCCTTGACTTTTGGATGTTAGCTCAATATCTCAAAATGTTGTGTTGTGGTATTATTTTGTTTATTAGAGCATTTAGTGTATTTTCTCACAGCGGACTAGCCTCATGCAAGTTGAAGTAAATTCCTGCAATTAGGGGTGGAACTTGGGTGGGCCTTATAACTCGAGCAACCCAAATCTTGCCTGAAAGGGATTTGGGTACAGATTTTACTAACCCGAGCAACCCTAGCAATTTGAAACAATAAAAAATTATAACTTAATATATTTTTATGACATATTATTCATACAATATATAAGTAAGGTTGCAATTGGATGGTTTATTCTTTGGTGGCATAATGTTATTGGTAGTTACAAACTAAACTTGTGACAGAGGTGGTTTAAAGGTCGGGTTAAATACGGTGACTTTCCATGAGGTTTGCCAAGTAAAATTATAATAGTTGGTTTTAGGTTAAATTTATTAGCAAAATAATTATATAAAAAAGAAAGTATAAAGTTTTGATACCTTCCCAAATTATAATATGAAGAAACATGAACCTACAAGTTATACAATCTCGATCTCCACATATGGAACTAGTGTGCCATCATGAAACATTTCTGGAACATTCTATGCTCTAAGAACATGTTATGGATTCAATGGATCAACACATATCTACTTAGAGGAAGAAGCATCTGGGAGGTCAACATACCTGGACAATGCTCCTGGAATTGGAGGAAGATACTACAGCTCAGGCCAGCCAATTTTGCCCCATGTCAAGCTCGAAATTGAAAATGGCCTCAACTCCAATTTTTGGCTTGACAGTTGGTGCTCACTTGGCCCATTACACCTCAGAATCTCATCCCAGTAGCCAAATGATTCCTCCTACGATTCCGCCACATCTCTCACTACCTTAATTGCTGATTCATCATGGGCCTTCCCACCCTCAATCATAAGTCTCATTCCTGAACCGGGTAACCAAGCATTTACTAACCACTCCTTGTTGACATCATAGGGTTGACATACTGAAATGGTCTAAATTGCTAGCACTTCGAAATCCATCCACCAGAACAGACCAACTCTCCATTGGCCGGCCTTAATTTGGTCACAGCCTTCCATTCCTAAACATAACTTCATCTTGTGGATGGCTTGCCATGTTCAATTGTCCACCCTAGACAGGAAACATATGGCTCATGGACAAGGCCCAAATCTATGTAAACTCTGTTCAGACATGCCTGAAGTCACATTACCATCTTTTCTTCCAATACTCCTTTGTTCGTCCCATTTGGTCATTCATTCAAACACGTTGTGGGTTTTATAAATTGTCGTCCTTGTGGCTTGAATGGTTGGATGGGAATGATTCAGTGGAATGCTAAGCCAACCAATTAAAGAGCTTCCATCTCCAAGCTATGTTTTGCTTCGGTTGTATACAACATTTGGTCTGAAAGGAATAGAAGAGTCATGAAAGGCAAATGGAGATTGGATTCCTCAGTTTTGCACCATACCCTTGATACTGTGATATTAACGTTGATGTCCTGCTCCTTTATTGATTGATTCAACGATTGCTAGACACATCATCTCTAAATGGGAACTGCCGGCTTCTGTAATCCGGCCACCTCCAAAGGGAAGCTCCCGGCTTGTCTCGTTGGCTCGCCGCTGCAAGTTCTAAATTGATCGATTTGGAAGACTATTGACCAACAGTCAATAGTTCTGAAATCTGGACTCTAGGCTTTTACTAGGTTGGTTTGGGTTTGGACTCAGCTCTTTGCTCATAGTTTCGTCTTTGGCATTGTTGGGCCTCGGGGCCATACCCTTTTTGGGCTCTACACATCCACACCTAAAATGAATGTTGAGTGTTGGGTCCGTCCTGCCCCTAGAGCCGTGCAACTCACCATTATTTCAACCTAAGTCATATAAAACTAGGGCTGCAACTTGGGCTGGCCCAACCCAGCCCAGTCCCAACCCAATCTCAACCCGAATCGGTTTAGGTTGGACCAACCCGAATTGTACTCAACATGGGTTATGGTCATAACCCGGACTGAATATTTTCGAACGGGTTGGGTCGGGTTTACGGGTTGAATTTTTTTTTTTTAATAAATGTTTTTTCCTGAAATTTATATATATATTGTAATGAATATATGTGTGTGTATATATATAGAGAGCAATATTTATTACAGAAGTTTTCTCACAGAGAGAGAGAGAGAGAGAACTCGAACGAGAGATAGAGAGAGGATGAAAAGCTTTATTCAAGTCTCTTATTTCACATTAAAAGTAGTGCAGGTACATTGCCTTATATAGGCTCACTTGTTGGCTTCCCTTATAATCCAAATTAAGGCTTTCAGTGTACACAAAGAACTAGGCTTCCTTTTCACTCCAAGAATGTCATCATTGATGACATAAAATATTGTGGGCCCCATATATATATAACACTCCTCCTTGGGGTCCACAATACTACACTAAGAATATGCCTCGTTAAAACCTTACTAAGGAAAACCCAGTGGGACAAAACCTTAGTGAAGGAAAAAGAGTACAGTATTATTGTGTATCAGAAAATGGTATTGCATAGATTAAAACTGCCTCACTAAAACATTGCCAGAAAAACCTAGTGGGATAAAACCTGGACGAAGGAAAAAGAGTATAGTATGTTAATACCTCTTTGATCAATTGCTCCCCCTCATTAGTTCAACCCTGAAGATCCTTTAGTTGACGCATTCCAATGTTGTCCACTAACTTCTTGAATGTTGTAGTTGGAAGCGCTTTAGTGAATAAATCTGCTAGATTATCACTAGAGCGTATTTGCCGAACATCAATATCACGGCTCTTCTGGAGCTCATGTGTGGAAAAGAATTTTGGTGAAATGTGCTTGGTTCTATCAATTTTTATGTATCCCCCTATTACCTGTGCAATACATGCTGTATTATCTTCATATAATATTGTTGGACTATTTTTGATTGGGGGGAGTCCACATGATTCTCGAATATGTTGTATAACAGATCTCAACCAAACACACTCTCTACCTGTTTCATGAATTGCGAGTATCTCATAGTGATTTGAGGAAGTTACAGTCATGGTCTGTTTCATAGATCGCCATGATATAGCAGTACCACCACAAGTAAACAAATACCCTGTTTATGATCGGGCTGTATGTGGGTCAGAAAGATAACTTGCATCTGCATATCCGATCAACTGGGGCTTTGATTGTCTTGAATAAAACAATCCCATACCAGTCATTCCCCGAAGGTAACGCATAATGTGTTTAACCCCATTCCAATGTCTTCGAGTTGGTGCAGAACTATACCGTGCAAGTAAGTTGACTGCAAATGCCATATCAGGTCTGGTACAATTTGCAAGGTATATTAAAGGACCGATTGCACTAAGATATGGTACTTCAGGACCAAGAACTTCTTCGCTTTCTTCCAGAGGACGAAAAAGATCTTTCTTCACATCGAGTGATCGGACAATCATTAGAGAACTCAAGGGGTGAGCTTTATCCATATAAAAGCGATTCAGGACTTTTTCAGTGTATGTTGACTAATAGATAAGAATTTCACTTGGTAAATGTTTGATCTATAGGCTGCGACAAAATTTTGTTCTACCAAGATCTTTCATTTTGAATTCTTTCTTTAAATAATTAGCAGTCATGGTGAGCTCTTCAGGAGTTCCCACAAGATTTAGATCGTCAACTTATACAGTTATAATGGCAAATCCTGATTTTGATTTCTTGATGAAAATGCATGGATAAACTTGATTATTCACATATCCTTCTTTTAGTAAATACTCGTTGATTCGATTGTACCACATACCTCCAGATTGTTTCAATCCGTACAAGGATCGTTATAGCTTGATCGAATATATAGTATGTGGTTTCAAGCTATTTGCTTCAAGCATTTTAAATCCTTCTGGGATTTTCATATATATGTCACTATCTAGTGATCCATATAAATAAACTGTAACCACATCCATCAGACGCATATCTAGTGCTTCTGAGACTGTCAAACTGATCAAGAAGCGAAATGTGATTGCATCCATCACAAGCGAGTATATCTCCTCATAATCAATACCAGGTCTCTGCAAGAAACCTTGGGCTACAAGTCGGGCTTTATATCTTACAATTTCATTTTTCTCATTATATTTCCTTACAAACACCCATTTGTATCTTACAGGCATGACATCTTCAGGTGTCTAAACTACAGGTCCAAAAACGTCACGTTTTGCTAATGAGTTTAGCTCTGCCTGTATTGCTTCTTTCCATTTTGGCCAATCATTTCTACATCGACACTCTTCGATGTTTTGAGGTTCAGGATCCTCATTAGCACCTGCAATATCAAGAGCAGCTGCAAAGGAGAATATATCGTTAATAATAACTGTATTTTTATCCCACAATTCTCTATAGTTTATTGATATCTCATTATTTTCAGGTATCAGTGCCTCTTCAGGGGCTTGTGCCAATTCTGGGGCTTGTGCCACTTCCGGGGCATGCATATCTTTTGGGGCTACTTGCTTATAAAATTTCGATTGATCAATCATTTTCGTTGTTTCTTTTGCAAGTGTGACCTCTTCAGGAGTGTCAGTTTCTTTATTTGATTTCTCTTATACTTTCCTCTTCCGGGGAACAGTGTCTTTTGCACCGACTGGTCTACCACGCTTCTAGCGTGTCTTAGATGCATTTGCAATAACACTGACAGACTGTCCTACAGAGACATCAATTCTTGCTGGAATGTTTACAGCTGGAATATGTGATTTCATCACTTTCTTTGTGTTAGTGAATGCATCGGGTAATTGATTTGCAATACTTTGCAAATGAATGATCCTTTAAACTTCTAGTTCACATTGATTTGTGCGAGAATCTAAATGAGATAAAGTCGAGACATTCCAATTAATAACTCGTTGCTCTTCTGGCTTTTTCTTTTCTCCCCCTAATGGAGGGAAAACAGTCTCATCGAAATGACAGTCAGCAAACCGTGCCTTAAACACATCACCTGTCATAGGTTCAAGATATCTAATAATAGATGGAGAATCAAAACCTACATAAATACCAAGTCGTCGTTAAGGACCCATTTTGGTGCGTTGTGGGGGTGCAATGGGAACATATACAGCGCAACCAAAAACTCGTAAGTGA